GCGGATGCATGCAACACCCGCTGAGTGTCATTAAACAGCTTGAAAGATCAAAGACAATTTTTTTATATAACTGACTGGAATCGCCTGAAAGAAGAAAGTCATATACACCTAGGATGACTTGAGAATGAGTAATTTATGGGCTAATTTTAATTTTTGGGTGAACTAACCCTTTAATGTTATGCTCTAAGTTGGTGTAAGCAACATTTTCAAATAAATAAAGTGCTTTTCCGATTACATTCGGCACCAGGCACTGAAGTAAATCATACTCGGCAAAGCATCGAATAGCAGAAAATAGGCTGCATGTACTCAGCATTAGAATACAGAAGTAAGTCCCATATTTTGTGCTTACAGTATCATGTATACATCATTTTGTTTTTCACAAGTGTGAAAGCTTCATATAACAACAGATACTTGAAAAATTTTAGGAGTAGGAGAGGTCCAAAATAATAAGTCCAAATAGGGCTTAAGAATTTACAGCAGGTACATTTTCTCAGTTCACCCGCCATTGAGATGGAGGCCAAACAGTTCATTCTGGACCCAGCGTACAGCCATTGAAGAAGAGCAGGACATGAACTCAAGAGCTAAGGGACAGGAAGCCAAGAATCCTAGACGACAATTAAGATAAAGCCATCTAGTCGACAGGCAGATTAAGGAATGCTTCATCAAAAGAGAGCAGGGCACCAAGCATGAATGCCTGCTGTTGGCATGTCTGTGTGCACAAGGCGGGACTCCCTCCCTCCAGCTTGACTCACATCTCACCCACTGTCTCTTCCAAAACAAAACACAGCAGCAGGGAGAGTCCAGACAGGGAGGACGCCAACCATTTGGATGTCAGCAGAGGCAAAACCGCCATTAGACTTAACTAAAGTGTCTTGTAATTTATTATCGTCTCTTTGTCCTCGTTTAGCAACTAAAATGCAGACATTCCTTAACAACCTGGCAGTGTAGCAGCTGTCAGACCGAGACTATAAACACCAGCATGGCTTATTACGCCATTTACTGCCAACTCCGCATCCAGAGCGCATCAACACGACACAGGTGTATGTCGAAACATCCTTCAGTGTCTCCGCTTGAATCTTTTGAATGCAAACAGAACAGTTAACTCGTTTTCTGAAATTTAATGTCCAGGTAATATAACAAACACAAATTATAGTCTATATGTATATTACATTTCTTAAAAATGAAAAAATATATATTTTTAAATAACTGTAGAAACACGTCGTCACAGTTTGTGAAAAGGGTCCATTGGCCATATTTAGGTTACACAACTCCCATTAACTGCAGAATATATAAAAATCTATTTTTTAAAAACTACTGTCCAAAAGATACTTGTGCCTGAATGATATTTGACGCTTTCCAAGACTTTGAGAGCGCTTAAAAAAAGAATACTGTGTGGGGTTGACAATGAAAGCAATGTACTTTACTCATCCACTCCTGTTGTGCAATCCTTGATTTGTTCAGTTCATTCCTGGCCAAAGAAAGCATTTGTCACTCAATCTATTTTCTAGCATGAATCAGAGAGAGTGGCTGTCAAGCCAAAGTATAGTACAAAGGTCACGAGGATGTGAGCTGCACGGCAAACACTTCATGTGCTTAATACTAGCTCCTCGGCTTCATTTAGTTAAATTTAAACCAGCTATTCCCTAGTGAATACATTATACAGTTCATGTAAACAACGAATGTCCAGAGACATGCTTAAAGGAAACTACTTATGTGTCTATGGCTCAGGCACAAGAATGCTGATGTTTGTGTCTATATTGCATGTCTGTATCTCTTCTGCAATCACAGTAATGTATACTTCACTCACTCTATGTTGGCTCTGTGCTTTTCCAGCAGGACATTCCTTTAGCAAAGACTGAATGATTTACAAGAGTTTAATGGAAACAGCAAGTGCAGCTACGGACTGCTAGATCATCACACTTTTAATCTGAGAACTATCCTGCACCGAGATCTCAACGCACTTTACCTATATGGCAGTAAAAACCAATAATCCATTCAGTTATGGGTGAACTAATTCCCTTTGCTGTGTTTTTCACACTTCTACTATACAAGCATGAATATTAAGACAAGGAAAACAGTAAAACTTTGCTCAGTGCACCATCAGAGACTACACTTTCAAGAACACAGAGGAAACTGTGAAGACAAGCAAATCAGAAGTCAACACTTGTCAGCTTCTTCTGTTAGCCATTAAAGCTGGCATACTGAACTAGTTTAGGAACAAGGGCTCATTAATAGGTTCCAAATGATATTTTGCTCCTCCTTATGTGATCTTTTGTCATGTGGTGACTCGTACACAAAGACCACCCACGTTTTTTAGTAGTCTACATAGGCGCCACAGTGTTACAGTTTTTTATGGACCTGACTCAGGATAGATGTCATTTAATTTGATGCAGAAGCTATGAAAAAAAAAATCACAGTGCAGTCCATTGGATGGGTTGTACTTCTGTACTTTGGTGTTGATTGTTCAGACATAAAATAATCTGTCGGCTGTCATCGTTAACGCATGCGATTAAGACCAAAGTCTTTTGGTTTACTTTGCTGGATATAGCAAACGATGACAAAATAAACATTTGAAACAAGATAAATGGTCTATGCTTAATTTCATGAAGCGTGCGATTAATCACAGAAAAAGGATGTGATTAGATTAAAAATTGTAATCAATTGAGAGCCCTAAAATAAAAAAATATATATATATAAATATAAATTAAAAATAAATAAATATAAATTAAAAATAAATTAATACAAATTTAAATATATATATATATATATATAAATAAATAAAAAAAATATTTTAAAAATGATATATATATATATATATATATAGTCATAGGACAAAAAACTCTGGAAAACATGGTGAAAATTAACCAGCTTAAAGCTGTGTGAAATTCACCCTTTTTTGCATCATGGTAAAGGGATGGTTCATCCAAAAATCTAAATTATGTCATAATTCCAAACCTCTAAGACTTTCTTTCTTCTGCGAAACACAAAAGAAAATATTTTGAAGAATGTTGGAAACCAACCAACTTTTGATCCCATTGACTTTTCAAATGATTTCTCAAAATCTTTTCTTTTATGTTCCACAGAAGAAAGAAACTCATACAGTAAAGACATGATGTTGAATAAATGACAATATTAATTTATGGGTGAACCACCCTTTTAAATATGCCATCTTCCCTGAGCTCCAAGTTTATACCTGCACTTTATTTAAATCCTTTTATTCTTAGGTCAATAAACTTGTAACCAATGTAAATTGAAACTAAATTCAACACTGAACATGGAAGATAATAAAACACATTGTATGTTTGGTTTTGTGATATAGCCTGTCAGAGACAATTGGTAGGTCTTATGCAGAGACAAAAGTGAATGAATATAGATTCATTTTGCAGGCCCACTGCCCAAAGAGTGAATGAAAATGGGGGTGGCGATGCTGGTTTAGGGTAGTTTCTTACACAGCGGGCACCGTGCGACAGGGAGAAAACTTCCCTCAGTGTGAGAAGTCAGCTTGAACATGCTCCCACAGATCAGAGCCTAACTCAATAAAAAAAGAAAAGGGGTAACTGCGAAGTCTGCCTTTGGGAATTGAAATGTAATGAAATAAAAGAAATTAACAACAGACGAGAAAGAAAGCAGGCCCAGGAATAGCTTTTGGAAAGGAAAAAGCCTGGAAATGCACCGGCAACAGGGATCTACATCGCTCATTCACACACAAATGAATATACAGCTCATTGTGGCAAGCTCCCCCTCCACACACACACACACATATATGTGGAGTGAAGGTCAAGTGGAAACAGGCAGAGGGTTTTTCGATCAGCAAGCTGCTAAACACAATTGCAGATGTGAAAAAGATAAATAGAAAAACACACTGGCAGTGATCACGTTGTGCTTACCAAAGTACTCAGCCTTTGGCTGGGCGTCCATCTCCTTTTCCAGGCGTTCAGTTAGAGCTTCTAATTTGATTTCAGCCGCAGATGGCCCCTGATCTGTCTGTACATGGAGGGTCTGGCATGGCAGCTTGAGCGCACGAGAAGGGCTGGAAGACTCATCATGGGGCGACTCAACAGGGGCCGCCGGTGTAGAAGCGGGCACTGATGTGTTACCGGGTGCAGTGCTCTTGGGTTGGGGTGGCTCACCTTGCTTCCCTGCATGGGACAATGGAGGTTGGGTCACATGGGTAGCGGAGGGGGTGCCAGTATTATGAGCTCCCCCATTTTGATATGTCGGTCCACTGGCAGACCAAAGGGCAGAGTCTGGTTGGCAGTGCTGCCCAGGGCTAACTTGTTGAGGCTGGTGATATGCATCCCTGTATGTTCCTGTGGGCGACTGAGAGGGAGACTTCCCTGTTTGAGGGAATCCCTGAGACACTGGGGAATAATTCTGACCCGCTCCAGGTGAGCTAGAAGAGGAGGAACTGTTCGAGAAAGGAGACGATGGCGTCTGAGACGGGTAACCGCTTCTTGACGCCCATGTGCCAGGGGGGCTGGTAGAGGGTGCCGATCGCGCTGGCACTGGTATTGGGTTAACAGCATTCCCAGTCTCCTTAATGTCATAAGCCCTGTTGCTGGATCCATCATGTAAGATGACCGAATGGTGTTTTTGTCCTTCGTAAAATATGTATGGAGTCACACTGGCAGTGCCAACCACTGGCCCAGACATGATGGGTGGTTTGGCTGCTGCTTCACCAACCTGTCTATAACCATTGATGGGTGGTCTGTCTTTGGTGTAAAATGAGTTATCTGATACTTTCGAATGACTTCCATTGATCCTTGCTGCCAGACTGTTTCTTGCCATCTCCTCTTGCTGCTTCTGCATGTGTATTTTAGCCATTTTTGAGGCAAAAACTTTCCTGGTTTCTTCAAAATCCGGGTTGTTACCCGCATCTCTCTTCACGCGAAATAAGCCGTCCTTCGATGCTTCATACATGTTCAAGTCCTCGATGAATTTACTCGCCTCAAGTCCCAAATCCCCGTATTTATCCATGTCTGCAACTGGAAACGCGCACGGAAAGACTCAGAAAGTAAGTTTTTAAACGGGGAACAGCTGCTCAAACTCATTCACCTGTGAAAAGCCACGAATAAGATCACTTAGAACTGCAAAAGCCAAGAGAAGAGATTAGGTTTCCACACAGACAACATCACACGATACAGCTTAAATCCACTAAAATAGCCGACCCGCAAAAACAAGTGACCAAGCGTGACTTTCGGAGGCAGCTCTCCGTGTAAATTGAATGAAACTCGGCTGAAACTCTACAATGTAACGAACTAAACCCCACAGTGGCCGAGAGCGAGGTTAAGCTGCTCGTCGGTGAACTCCTCACAGAGAGAGACCGAGCGACTCTGAACGAAGAAGCGCGAGACTCTGTTTTCTGCAGTTCACGAGCGCGCTAAGAGAGAGAGAAAATGATCCGCGTGCAGTTTATTCTCACGGATCCCCATGCTAAATAACCAAGCGAACGTTTTAAGCGGTTTAGAGAGCTTGTACTTGAAAGAGACGTGTAAAGACTCTGCTGCCGTGTGGTTGTGTTGTAATTTCACATGATTAAAGTAGACTGAAGAGAATTTGCTCACCACGAGACGTGTGGAAATAATCCAGCACTTCATTTGATATATTATAGTGAATTTGACATCTTGAGATGAAGTCAACTTTTTTTCTGTTGTGCAAAACACGGGGACAAGCAAAATCCCAGTGTTTTCATAAGAATGAGCCTGATTCATTCATTCAGGCTATGATTATATAATCAAAGAATGATTAAATAAAAGGTTTTCATTGAAATGTACACTTTTCTCGTTTAGCCCCAACAATTCAAATTTCATCATTTATTGTCCCTTCTATCATTCCCAACCTGTAGCTACTTTCTTTCTTCCAAATCATATTTAACGATAAACCTTGCCAAGCTTAAAAAATGACAAAAAATGCACCATACATGCTAGCTATTTTTCCATTACCTACTTCAAGTCATTCAATATAGCTCTGTGTGATGAACAGACCACAAGTTACAGTCTTTCCTCTTTAGCTTTCAAATCTTTCAAAGCAATACATAACTCAATTATGCATAATAGGCCTATTAAAATGCCTCATAATGTAAAACTATTATATACAATGTAGCCAAACCACGGTGTTGTGAAGAGGAAAGTGAAGTGATGGATAACACAACTCATGAGATCAACTCCACAAGCCAAACATTCCTCAGCAACATTATCTGCGGTGTGAAGTGGGACAGAAATGCTTTCCCCTATCAGCACACACCTCACCCGTCCCACAACATTACATGCAGTCGTCCCTTAAAGTATGTTTTTTGCATTAGCTACAAATAATAAAAGTGTCATCTGCACTAAAATGCTGCATGGCCTTTTTTTTTAAACTAACTTTACTTTTTTCCATACTTTTATTAATTTTATTCAACTGATTTTTTTTTGTCAGTTGCCCTCACGTTTTCAAAGGTGTTCATCACAGTAACTATGAACATGTTCCAATGTTTCACACTTCTCTTCACTTTGAGAATTATGTTTTATCATTTTAAACCCAGCTTTTTTAGTGAGAAGTTTTGCTTGCAAAAGTATTTTCTTGCTAGAAATAAAATTCCACTTGGTTAGATATTTTGTATCTGCAACAACATTCAGACATTCGTAAGTGTACTTTTTGGGGCCACTGTAGAGCTGTTGACAATGGTTATGCATTATTAGACCAGTATTGACATACAGTTGTCTCTAACAGTCTGAGAGCTGTTATCAGTATACATTTGAGTAAAAAGTTGATTATAAAAATGTACATGAATTTTTGAATTTCCTGATGATCATGTTCTCCATTGTGCAAAATGCATCTTGTGCTTCAATCAAAGCAAGAAAATCTGACCGTTTGCATGATCAATTACACTACTTAAAGGGGTCATATGATGCGATTTCAATTTTTCCTTTCTCTTTGGAGTGTTACAAGCTCTTGGTGCATAAAGAAGATCTGTAAAGTTGCAAAGACTAAAGTCTCAAATCCAAAGAGATATTCTTTATAAAAGTTAAGAGTCAACCACGCCTACCTAAAACCCCTCATTCTAACACGCCCCCACATATCTACCTCACGATGTGGGAAGATTTGCATAACGCCGCCCAAATGTTCACACTGGTCGCTGAGGAAATACAATAACTTCGTCCTGTGGATCGCCGGATCGGCTTTCACCGTGGACGAAGCGGAGTCCAGCCTGGGGTCGTCACATGTGGTTGCCGCAAGCTCCTTCGTCGAATCCGCTGGCCGCGCCGTTCTCAAGTCGCCGGTGACACTTTTTCGTTGTGAAAGCGAAACTACTTTGTTTGGTCTTGGTTTTGGTTACCATTGAATTCCATTTTATGTTCAACAAAACGGAGACAATTCTCAAGATATCTTGTTTCATATTTCTATGGAACAAAGAAACTCTTACAGGTTTGGAACGACATGAAGGTGAGAAAATTACAGAATTTAAATTTTTGGGTGAACTATCCCTTTAAACTCAAATATTCGCAATAGTATTAGTGCTGCTTGCTTTAGCAAACACAAATAATAACAGAAACGAGAAAAACTTGAACATATGAATGCCGTACAAAAAGACACAATACACAGGAAATTAACACTCTAAAAATATCAAGCCATCTGGGACACAAAAAAAAATAAATCAAATCCCTTCCTGCTTTTAAAGTCAGCACTTTTGTGGGACTTCTGGGAAATTATTCTTCAGTGTTTTATTAGTGAGTCACTTATATAAGGCCATAAGGGACAGCAGAGGGGATCGATTTCAGACTGAATTATGTGTGTGGTTACTGAGTAACAGGGCAAAAAATATTTCCAAACAACAGAGGTACTGTCAGCGAGTGTCCCAGGACGTCAATACCCTAAAGGCATACCATTACATTTGGCATGAAAGGCTTCCTTTATGCCCGTTCCCAACTTATTGTTCCCTCAAGTACTGAGAAACATACTCTCTGATGCATTTGGAGAAGGTCAGACACTCAACACATAAAGCAACACAGACGAAACAGTTAGTAAGACGCTAACTCGAGTGCGGTGTCAGTGTGCGTTGTGTCATTTGGTTGGGCTGCAGAGACTGAGAAAAGGGGCCAAATTACTCTGGTGTTGAAATGTGATGGCTCAAGTCTCTCCGTTCTCATTTCCAAAGGGAATGATGGGCATTCCTAAAGCTGTCTAACAGTAATCTTATAAAAGAGGGATCTATTCGTTAGCTTCAGTTAATAGCTCTGCGGTTTCACATGGTGTGTTCTGAAAGTTCACTAAAAATGGAAATATGGTTTCAGCTGTTAGGCTCCTTAACTTCAAATTAAAAGGATAGCTCACCCAAAATATATGATTCCATTTTATTGCTATATAGATCATTTTTAACAAATTCTGTCATCATTTATTTACTCACCCTTGTGTTACCATTTTGGTTACCATTGACCTCCATTGTAAAGACAAAAAAGAAAAGATCTTATTTTATATTCCACAGAACAAAGAAAGAAAGTTCAAAGAAGCAAATTCAGATCTGCCTCCATACAATCAACAACCGACGCACAGAATCAAGTCCATGGCCTACTTTTTTTCTTCTTCTTTGATAAACCGCTTCACTCACATGCAAGTCACAAGTTGTGGAAAAAAAATCTATAACTTGACTTTAATGTGCATGTGCATTATATGAAGCAGCTTGAAAAACACTAAACCTAAATGTATGATACCATTTTATTTCTGATTTACATTTATTCATTTAGCAGACACTTTTATCCAAAGCGACTTACAATATTTGGCTTGTTATTGCAACATAGGCTTAGCCAACAGTATTGAAGATTTTAGTATTTTGCCTATTCGAGAAGATCCACTACAAACTGTACTTGCTTGTCTATTATCAGAGCACAAACTGGTAAAAGCGCTTGCACACAGTCAATCTCTTTGATGGATAGAAATGTGTATATGTGTTTTGGGGGTGTGGTTGGAGCAAGATAAGCACACTTTGAAAGTAATTCTTATTGGTCAATACGTAGACGCACATTAGAGCTGCATTAACAATTTCTCAAATTTTGGTTGCATGACAGAGTGTAACTTTTTGCATTCTTAAAAATTTACAAATTGATTCAATGTATTATTTATCATTTATTTGTGACATTTACAAGCAATTTCTGAGTGAAAATTGTTTCAAAGTAAGTCCTACACCAATTTTTTTATAGTATACTTGTGATGCAACACCCCCACCGAAATAATTTGCTTCACAGTGCTTGATCTTGTGTAATCTTTAGTGTTCATGTGCTCTAACACCACAACCAGGATGGTCAAGACCTAAAGTGAAGTGTTCATGTCCCATACAGGACAGTGATTCACCTAAACCAGTGTTTGATGAGCTTAGGGTTATGAGACCCAGCAGGAATCCCACACTGTAAAAAATGACAGTGAATTTAACGGTAAAAGACTGTAAAAATGCTACAGTAAAAACCTGTTAAATGGTTAACGGTAAATTCCCCTACTATATACGGTGAAAAACTGTATTGGACATTACATGTATTGGACATTAATTTTACAGTAGTATACCGTTTTTGGAAGTGAAAAGACTTACCGTAATTACCGTAAATTGACATTCCCAGAATTCCCTGCGTTACATTTCAAATTTGATGTTTTTTTGTTAAAATAACTAGGTTTCTTCTTAGTTTTTTCTTATCAGTTTTGTATATTAGGGTTGTGTGTTACACCTAATGTTGTTAAATTAATGTTTATTGCATTATTTCAGTTTCATGTGTGTTACCGTGATGCTGTTTAGTGTTTGTGTGAATGACGCTGTGCACCTTCTATATATGTTATTATTTAAAAGCTGCTTGTGATGGGCTTTGGTTCATCATGTGACTTTCTCATCACCTCCTGCATTTGGTGGTTATCAGCGTATTATAAAGGTACAAAACAGATTTCAGTACTTCAAGAGGTTGGTATATTAACATTATATCAGTTAATGAAATTACGGTATTTAACTGTAAATTTCAGTTTAAAAACGTTGCTACCGTATTTTTACGGTAATTTTTTTTTACCGTTCATTTTACTGAATTTTTTTTACAGTGCACTGTTGTCTGAAAGCACAGCATGATCTCCACATCTCCATTTAAGGCAGTGCAGGTCTGTTCGAGGTGTTGTGATGTCAGGCTAAAACTGGCCATTCAGAAATAGCTCGCTACCAAACACTAACACTGCCAGACCAGCCTAGAGTCTGTGACGACGAGGGCAAAACATGTATCCTATTAACCTGCAAATTGCCTAAAATCCTCTTTATTTAGCAACAAAGAGCAAAGCCATTTTCATTTTCAACTCGACAAGAACATCTTGTAAAACTGAAAAGTTACTCAGTACACCATGTCCTTATTTGTTCACTTTTCAAAAATCCTTCAGTGATGTGGCTCTTTGGATATCTGCGCCTTTTCACGCACGGTCCATTCTGGAAGTCCAGTAAGGCCCATCATGTCATTCGTCCACCAGAAAGTTGATGAGGGCCGTTCTGGGCGAGAGGATGGCCTTCTTAATGACCCGCTCAGAGAGCAGACGGGCACCCAGAGGGCTGTTCAGCACTAGCTCCTGAACCTTCTGTGCGTCCTGAGCCACTTCACGAGGTACAGATACACTCCCACACGCCTTATTATTGATCTGAGGACAAAACAGAGAGAATACTGATGCCATCTGAAAAACTAAAGATTAAACCAGCGGTTTTAGATTTTATACATTATTTCAAGCCAAAAAAAAGGTCAAACCTGGTAAAAGTCTGATTGATGCAAACGATGACAAACTAGATGGACATTTTCTGAAGACAACAAATCGTTAAATGGCGCAAAATTGGTTTGTTCTCCAAATATCAGTCCTTCATTCTTTTTTTGGCCATTTGATTGTCCGACAGGCAAAACTCATTTTGTGGGAAGTTGAGAGTTGTTTTCTTACTGGCCCAACTCTCAAAGAGTTCTTCATGGAGAAGACAATCCCAGAATTCATTGCAAGGAAATTTTTATTAGATGGAAACAGTTGGGCATGGACAGATGGAAAATGTTGGCGATAAATGTATTTATAAAATTAAAGAAAAATCTATTTTACCTGTGCCCTATGAGCTCAAAGTCTGTATTCTGCTCTCCAGATGTTTGTTTGTTTATTTAACACCATTAACAATTTTTCAGATTTTTCCCCCAATGTCTATTTTTTAAAAGAAATAAACACTTTTATTCAGCAAGGATGTTTTAAACTGATGAAAAGTGACAAACATTTATAATTCCTTATAACTGTTTTCAATTTTGATAATAATAATAATATAATCAGAAATATTAGAATGATTTCTGAAAGATCATGTGACACTGAAAACCAAAATAATCACTTCTGATCTCGCAGGAATAAATTACATTTCACAATATATTGAAATAGAAAAGAGTTTTTTTTTGTTTGTTTTTTTACATAGTAATAATATTTCACAATATCACACTATATTTCACAATTTTGATCAAATAAATTTTAGCTACTTAAAAACCTTTTAAAAAATCATGCAGACCCCAAACATTTGAACAGTAGCTATAATACACACACACACACGCATTATCATATTTTAACAATGTGTAAGTATGAATTATAAAGCAATGGAATTCATAATGGAAAATAGTAGTGCAATGGTGAGGAAGAAGATGGGGCAAAAAGAAAAGGATACAGAGGAAAATCTCAAGGCTTTGCAAAAGTGACACTCTTGTCACTGCAACTAAAATGTAAGAAAAGTGCTTTCAGAAATCAATTTGCTTTATTCCTGCCTGGTTTAAAACATCCTCAAAATGTCAAAATTCTCCGTCAGAGCTTTCTCTAGTGTGTAAACCTCTTTGTGCCCAGAAGTTCTTCTACAATCATGCTGGAGGACAAATAATGGTTTTGATAAAAGGTTTTCCTCTAGATCAGCAGTAGTGTTCGTTTTTTGAAGCTGAGTTACTGAGTGCTTGTGCCGTGTCTTGGGAGGACTAAACAAACCCTTTGAGGGTGGATACCTTGCTTTAGCATCTGTTGTTAGCATTGTGTGTGGGTTTGTGTGAAACTAAAGCTGGTCTTCTGGTGCATCTGCTCCTCAGTGTGTCTGTGGTGAAATGAAACGCACTCAGACAGCTGGACTGCATCATGGGAGAAAATCATCCCTGTTATTATGACTCCCAAAGTAGTTCAGCCACCCGCACAAAGCAGGGGATTCCCTCAAATACTGGCAGGCTGGTGCGAAGGGCGGGTGTAGCAAAGCCTTCTGGGTAGTACTTTTTCAAGCGAGTATGCAGTCAAATATCATGCTCATTTTGTTCCTTATTTGAAGGTGAAATTCATGATTTTATCCTTCTTCTTAACTGTTATGGTAGCGACATCTTTATCCCTTGTTGCCAAATAATGAGTATTGTGTGTGTGTCAAAAAATGTGGGTGAATATCGTTTCTGTGGACTTTCACAAAACATAAAAAAAAACAAAAACATGAAAATCTAATTTTTTGTTTGATTTACAGTAGTTGAGCTAGTTGGGTTTTGGCAATAAACATCTGGCAGCAGAAGATTCCACTAAACGTTTTCCCCCCCTCATAATTATAAGTTAAAATCTCTTAATTTTTGAGTTAACATCTTGCAATTCTGATGTTTTTATTTTTTTTCTCAAAATTGCAAGTTTATCTCATAATTCAGTTGTTTATCTTGAAACTCTCAGCGTACATCTGGCACTTCTGATTTGTTCACATGGATGAAAAGCAATTGTGAGAAGCAAACTTGTAGTTCTAATAAAGTCTCAACTGCAAGATGCAAATTCAGACTCAAAATTGCAAGATATAAACTTGGAATTGCAAGAATTGCTCATTTTGTCCATAGTGGAAATGGGCTTCAATAGCTAACACAATACTTTAATGTACGTAATACAATACAAGCTCAAGAAATTGTAGTACACATATATATTAAGAAAAATAGTAAAAAGTTTCTTTTTTTATCTATACTTTGCAGTATATAAAATACTTATAACCAACATTTCCCATTTGTCATTTTGTTGCCATCAGTGGATTCTGGGATTGCCGCCTTCTGGATTTTGGACAAAACGAGATGGCTTAGAAGGCAGCATAAATATACCAATTTATACCAAGTTTTTTAAACAATGACAGATGCACGAGGGCAAGTAGAGACACACACTTGACCAAGTCCTTAAAAGACGGTCATGGAAAGAAGATTTCAGCCCCCAGATAGTTCAAGTCTGTAATAATCGTTCACTCGTCACGCCAAATTCAGAGGCCAATCCCTTCACACACGCACAAATTACAGAGAGCCTGTTCTGAAATACAGGCTTTTAAGTAGGAGGTAAGCACTTTCCCTTTGCCCTTTTCCCAGAGAACATCCTGTGCTGAATATTCTGCATACAAACATCCTGATGACACAGAAATATCGCAAATACACTGAGATAACGATTCGTTTGAGAGAAGGTTGTGTTTGTATGTGAAAAAAAACATATCAAGGAACACAAGGTAGTACTTTTTCAAGCGAGTATGCAGTCAAATATCATGCTCATTTTGTTCCTTATTTGAAGGTGAAATTCATGATTTTATCCTTCTTCTTAACTGTTATGGTAGCGACATCTTTATCCCTTGTTGCCAAATAATGAGTATTTTGAGTTAACATCTTGCAATTCTGATGTTTTTATTTTTTTTCTCAAAATTGCAAGTTTATCTCATAATTCAGTTGTTTATCTTGAAACTCTCAGCGTACATCTGGCAATTCTGATTTGTTCACATGGATGAAAAGCAATTGTGAGAAGCAAACTTGTAGTTCTAATAAAGTCTCAACTGCAAGATGCAAATTCAGACTCAAAATTGCAAGATATAAACTTGGAATTGCAAGAATTGCTCATTTTGTCCATAGTGGAAATGGGCTTCAATAGCTAACACAATACTTTAATGTACGTAATACAATACAAGCTCAAGAAATTGTAGTACACATATATATTAAGAAAAATAGTAAAAAGTTTCTTTTTTTATCTATACTTTGCAGTATATAAAATACTTATAACCAACATTTCCCATTTGTCATTTTGTTGCCATCAGTGGATTCTGGGATTGCCGCCTTCTGGATTTTGGACAAAACGAGATGGCTTAGAAGGCAGCATAAATATACCAATTTATACCAAGTTTTTTAAACAATGACAGATGCACGAGGGCAAGTAGAGACACACACTTGACCAAGTCCTTAAAAGACGGTCATGGAAAGAAGATTTCAGCCCCCAGATAGTTCAAGTCTGTAATAATCGTTCACTCGTCACGCCAAATTCAGAGGCCAATCCCTTCACACACGCACAAATTACAGAGAGCCTGTTCTGAAATACAGGCTTTTAAGTAGGAGGTAAGCACTTTCCCTTTGCCCTTTTCCCAGAGAACATCCTGTGCTGAATATTCTGCATACAAACATCCTGATGACACAGAAATATCGCAAATACACTGAGATAACGATTCGTTTGAGAGAAGGTTGTGTTTGTATGTGAAAAAAAACATATCAAGGAACACAAAATTAATACCCATGGCATTTGGGGTGTTTTCAGTACTCTCTCTCTGCTTTTCCCAGAGAACATCCTGTGCTGAATATTCTGCATACAAACATCCTGATGACACAGAAATATCGCAAATACACTGAGATAACGATTCGTTTGAGAGAAGGTTGTGTTTGTATGTGAAAAAAAACATATCAAGGAACACAAAATTAATACCCATGGCATTTGGGGTGTTTTCAGTACTCTCTCTCTCTGTGTGTGTGTGGGGGTGGGGGTGTGAGAGAGAGTGTGTGTGTGTGTGTGTGTGTGT